GGGGAGGGGGAGAGAGAGAGAGAGAGAGAGGGAAAGGACCAAATCGCACCCGATCGCCAGACCATTTTGAATATCCTGCTGAGACCGATTGACAACCGGCACAAAGCCAAGACGCAGAGGGACCGTCTCGCCGCGTAGGATCGGCAACGCATCGCTGCCAACTTCCATCAGGTCGACCTTCGTCAGCAGCCCGATGGTGCGCTCGCCTGAAGCCAAAGGACAGAGAAGGAGCCGAGGTGAGTGACTTCTCTGTCTTTACGTGCGCGCACGCACGCACGCACGCACGCACGCACGCACGCGGGCATGAGCAGTGCCGTGCGGTGGGAAAGGGGGGGGGGGGGCGAGGGCGCCAGAAAGCCCACGAGAATGACAGGAGATGATCAGCGAAAAGCACGGACCTGTGGGGTCCACTTGGCGCGCGAGGTTGAGTGCCTCCGAGTTGGCAATGTCCACATTGGCTGCTGACACGGCCAGGATCAGGGTGCTTGGCTGGGAGATGAAATCCAGGGCCATGTTTCGTGACTGCTGCTCGATGTCGGTCGGTTGGTCGCCAACCGCAATCTGCCAGGCCCAGGAGCAAAATTAGTCACGCCAATAATACGGTTTCATGGATGGACCAAGCTGAGGTGAGCACACGCGCGCGCGCGCACGAGAGAGAGAGAGAGAGAGAGAGAGAGAGAGAGAAAGAAAAAAGGGAGGCAGGGAGAGGAGGAGGGGTGGCACATGCACCCAACCCCGGGGAGCACGCACCTTGGTTAGCCCAGGCAGGTCCACAAGGGTCAAGTTCACCAGTCGCGGTGCGCACACCGTCAGGTAGATGGGCTTCGAGCTGAGGGAATGCGTGCCGCGAGTGATGCGCCGAGTTTCGGCCTCAATCTCCTTGATGACCTCGGGATATTCATGGGGCCGGTACAGGCGCATCGGGGCGTGCGAAAAAATGGCTCGCTCCTCCTGCGAACGATCTGCCACATTGGCGGAGGCACGGGTGTCCGTGTGGCGAGAGCACGGGGATCGTCAACAACCTGCAAAGGCCAGTGCCCCGAGTGGGGGGCGAAGGAGCAGGGGGGCAGGGGGGAAGGGAGGGGCGGGTAGCGGGGATGGCAAGCGGTGCGCGCACGCACCAGATGGCGGGACATGGCGCAGCTGCAACACCAACGGGCAACGCGTGACAATGTCCCGGCCACGCGGCAATAAGTCCCGACCAACGATGGCCTCCAGTACCGAAGACTTGCCGGTGGACTGGCTGCCAACAACCACAATGCGTGGGAGGGAGATGGCCGACAACTCCACGCCGGTTGGGTCACTACCGAACCTGGTGTCGGTCGCGGTGCCGGCCCCGCCCCCGGACCCGGTCCCGGACCCGGTCCCGGTCCCGGTCCCGGCGCTGGAGCCGGGCTCCGAGCTGGTTGTCAGCTGGAGGATTTGCTCCAGTCGGGCAATCAGCTCGATCAGGCGGTGGTTCATCACCGGCATCGGAGACTGGTCGGGAAGATGGTAGGCCGCCAACGAGGCTGCCTGACGGAGTTCCTCCACCTGGGTCAAGCTCAACGGCGTGGCTGACGATGGCCCGGGGGACATGGCTCCCGGGCGCGGAGACAAGTGATGAGGGGCGAACGACATCGAGGCCTCCGGCGAGGCCTGCGAGGCCGAGGGTGGCGCAGGCGGCGACAAGGACCCTGGCGGTCGCAAGTGGCGGGGTGGGGAGAAAACCCCCTCGCCAAGAGCGGCACCCCCGGTCGAGAGCGGGCTCCTCCGGAGCATGGGCGACAGGGACGCCGGTCGGCCGGTGGCGAGGGGAGGGGGCGGCGGCGGCGGCGGCGGCGGCGGCGAGGAGGTAGGCGAACAGGAAAGGGGGACGAGGGAGCGGCGAGGCGGGCGAGGGCGAGGCGACTGTCGGAGGTGCTGGTGGGAAGGCGTAAAGCACGCCGGCAGTCATCCTGGCTCGGGGCCCGGACAAAAAACAGGCCCCCGGGGCCTCCTCCTGGCGAGATCTCACACTCCCCACACCGGACTGGGCCACCCCCATCAATCAGGCCCAAGCCGAGGCCCACAGGGCTAGAGTCGCACATCTCCCGGGATCGACGCGAGGGGGGCAGGGGGGAAACAACGTGCGAGGACGCACTGGCCGGAGGGCGCCCAGGGGAAGCGGGGGCATTCCTGCACAGGGGGCCCAGGTCCGCGGGTTGAATGGGCAACCGCCGGCAGCTCCAGGAGCCCCTCGATAACACCTTTCCTTCCGGGTCAGGACCTGCAAATTCGCAGGGGAGGCTCGCGGCACCCGGAAGCCCTAAAATGGCCCTCGGGGTCCTTTAACATTGCCGGCCCCTCCGCCTACATTCACAGGCGCTTGATGCTCGCTTGTGGAGGCGCATCTTCTCCGGCGTTGGTCCTTGCTCCCTCCCGGCGGCGGCAGCCCGGCGAGCGGCTTGTCCCAGCAGGCGTTCTCTCACACTCGGCCCCCGGGGGGGGGGGGGGGAACGCGTGCGCCGAGGCTGTTGAGAGGAAGACTTGTTGTCCGGAGATCGGGAGATTGTTTGTATAACGTGGTCGTCCCGTGAGTCTCATGTGGTCGAGGAAGCTCCCCGGATGAGCACGGGACCCGGGCTCTCGTCCCTTTTCGCCCGCCAGCGTTCTTCCATTCCTTCCCCCCCCCCCTGATGCCAGAGCGAGCTGACTCATCCGGCCAGCCAGCCAGCCAGCCGGCCGGCTGCCCCCCGATGGCCAGAGGGTGGCGCCTTTCTTGTCGTTGTTTTATTTCTCATATTTTTGCTCCAGGACCCGACCCAGCGACATGGGGCCGCCTCCCCGCCGGGCTGCCTCTCTGGCGTGTACCTGCTTCCACAAGCGAAGTGCCTGCCAAACCCCCCCCCCCCCCCCCCACACACACACACACGCGCACACACATGGCCCTCACACACTCCGGCCGGGCTCCGAGAGGCCTCCCTTCAGGGATGACAAAACGTGGCGACGGACACCCCCCACGCAGCAGGGCGGGCATGCCTGGGGGAATCCCCCCCCTTGCGCATCTGGCGGCGGGAGGTGGGGCCCCCTGCGAGTGGCGATTTCGGTGGCCTAGCCTTGGCCGGGTGTTGCCCCTCGGTAGGAAGGGCGGCTCCCGAGCGGCCCTCCCCCGAAATGCTGCCCCCACTAGTGCCGATCATCAGGGGTGCGGAAGAAGGCATGCCAGCATTCGGGTATGCTCCGCCGCCATGCCCACGCGCCGCGGCGTCTAGCGAGTGCTGGTCCCCCATGCAGAACGCAGACAGGTATTTACACAGAGAGAGGGAGAGAGAGAGAGAGACACACACACACACAGCCATGCACGCCCTGGAGAGGGGGGTGCGGCGCGCCGGTTGGGGAGCGACATGAGAAGGTGATGGAAAAACCAGGTGTGTATGGAAGAATCTTTTGTTGGAGAGAGATGAGAAAATAAAGGAATGATACAAGAAAGCCGCCGCGTGACCGGGGGGGCAAAAAGGAGAGGGAAGGCTGAGGAAGGGGAGAGATGATGTGGGGGGAGGGGAGGGAGGGGGGGGGGGAGGATAAGGCAGAGGAGGGAGGAGGTGCGCGCGCATGTGTATGTGTGTGCGCGCGCACGCACGCATGCCTCACCCCTGTGCCACACACACCGCCGTTGCTCAAGGAACACACGGAGGCGAGCGCCCTTCTTCCCTGGCCTCTTTTCCGATGCGCACTTCTCCCTCTGCCACACTCTCGGACCTTCTTTTGCTCTCTTTCTCGGGCTGTCGGCCTCTTTTCTCTCTCTCGCGCTGTGGGCCTCTTTTTCCTGGCTCCACCCACTGGTGGGGCGGCCCCCTGCCCCTCGGCTCGGTGATCTCCCCTCATGTCCATTTGGCACATACATACACACACACACACACACACACACACACGCATTCACACAGCCAACAGCATGCACGTGTAGATGCGTGGATGCGGGGACGTGCGTATGCTTGTGTGCGCACGTGTATGGCCTCCCCTCTCAAAGAGTCTGCCTCAGCGAGACCCTACACCTCCGGGAAGAAGGAGGGAGAAGAGAAGAAGCAGCGCGTGTACATGGGACACAGGCACACAGGACGGGATATGGGGAGGGGGGGGAGGAGCCGAAGCAGAGGGGGGGTCCGGGGGTGGGGGTGGACGCACGTATGCAGGATGGGAGCACACAGCATCCCAAGGGAAGGAGGAGGGGTCGCGGGGAAATCTTAGAAGGACTGTCTTGTGAGATATGCCCTGGTGACAATTGCCTGGGGAGAGGAGGGGAAGGGGAGATAGGAGAGATGATCCAACCCGTTGCGGGGGGGGGGATCTGGAGAGTGCGTGCATGCATGCGTGCGTGCGTGTGTGTGTGTGTATGTGTGTACACAGCACACATGTGCGAATCGCCGTCTACAGGGAAGAGCAAGGGAAGGAGAGAGAAAAGGCGAAGGGGGGTGCATAATTAGCGCACAGGCGGACAGCGAGCGGTAGAGGGAGGAGAGAGAGGGGGAGACACGAGCGCCAGTCTGCCCCGTGCGAGGGCAGAGACACGAAAGGGGAAAGGGCAAACGACATGCTCTCCGATCCTCTCACACGGATGTGCAAGTTGGGAAGGAGGAGTCAAGGGGGCGGGGGGGGGGGGCAGGCGACGAACCTGAAGTGAGACGGTGGCGCGCGACGCCCACATGCCAGAGAAGGAGCGAAGGAGAAGATCGAGGAAGAGAGGGAGAGGGAGGTAGGTGGAGGGACGAGAGAGAGAGAGAGAGAGAGAGAGTGGATAGGAACTGACCGGCAGATCACGGCCAGGGGCACATCTTCTCGCCGGATGAGGTCATATGGGACGGAGAGGAAGAGAAGCCCACATCCATCCCTCGGATGAGAGGGAGAGAGGAGGCAGGAGAGGGAGAAGAGCTCTAGAGAGGAAGGATGGTCCCGGTGAGAGGATACCGGCCAGCGCTCTCGCACACACGAGGCGACGCACGAAGGAGGAGGAGAGGGGGAGAGTGGAGGGGGCGCCATGCGTGTGTGGGCTCCTCCGGCCTTGCATCACCATGCGTGATGTCGCATGGGCCCACACGGCATCCAGGGGGGGGGGTGCGCCCTGCCTGCCTGTGGCAGTCCTCCTCTCGATGGTCATCCCTCACCAGGCAAGGAAAGGCGCAGGTGACAGAGCCGACACAAGCGAGAAGGAGGAAAGGAGGAAGGGGGAGGGAAGGGAGGGGGAGGGCTCCCCTCGAGGAGAGGATAGAGAGAGCACAAGGAAGGGAGAGGGGGGAGCTCTCGAAAACACGCCTGCCTTCACCTCCAGCAGGGGGAGGGAAAGAGAGGGTGGGAAACCCGCGCTGCTAGAGGGAAAGGGGACAGAAGGAGAGAGGGGGAGAGAGAGGGAGAGAGGGAAAGACGGGGAGAACGGGGAGGAGGAGACCGTGGTTGGCGGCGCAGCGAATTTGGACGCATCGCATGCGCCGCGCGACTCAGGGCGCTGCCACTGCCAGACGAAGGGGAGAGAGGGGGAAGGGAAGAAGGAACCGAGGCGAGGCCATGGAAGAGGGGGGGGGGCAGAGGGAAGGTGGATATGCACGTGCGCATGTCACCATCCCCAGCCACGATCGCCGGCCCCCACGCCGATCCGCCTCGGGCCATGTTCTCCCCATCGCCAAGAGAGGAAGGAAGAGAGACGGAGGGGGCCGACGGCGGCGGCGGCCGGGGCAGCGGGGGGGGGGGCGAAGCCCATATCGCGTCCGCCTGTGGGGGGAAAGCTAAGGTCCCCGCCCCCGGGAGGTATGTATATCGGGGGCGGGAGAGGGGAAAGTGCGGGCGGGAGGCAGACGGAAAGGCCAGAGTCAACCACCAGTTGTGGGTATGAGGGGGGGGGGGGGGGGGGGGGGAAGGATGTGCAACTGGCCACCGCCGTAGGACGGCGAGGAGGAGGAAGGGGAGGGGAGGGGAGGGATTGACCAATCGCATGTCCGGCCGCCGACACACATGCGCCCGTGGAGGGTGCCGGTGGGCACGCACTTAGAAGAGGGTGCAGCGCTTTCGCCGGCGCTCGAGCAGGGGGTTCCCCTTGTTAATCTGGCGGACCAGGGTCTCGAAGGTCTCGTTGACGTTGGTCCGGAGCTTGGCCGAGGTCTCGAGGAAGGCGATGTTCTGGAACTCCTTGGCCAGGTCGATACCGCGCTGCTTGGTGACGGTACGCTGGTCATTGAGATCGCACTTGTTGCCGACCAGAATCATCGGGGGGATCTCCTCGGTGTCCTTGACACTGAGGATGCGCGCGCGCACACCGTTCAGCTCCTTGAAAGTGTCCTCAGAAACGATCGAGTAGACCAGGATGAAGCCCTGCGTGTGTGCGTGCGTGCGCGTTAGAGGGAGGGGGAGGGGGGGGGGGGGTGCGCGCGCTTTGCACTGGGGTGTTGGGCCATTGCCCCGGCTGGTGCTGTCGACAAGGTGGACGAGCAGCGAAGAGGCGAAGATGATGGAGAGGCGGGAGGGGGGGAAGGGGCGAAAGGCAGAGGGTGTGGCAGGGGGGAGACGTACATGGCCGTTGCGCATGTACATGTCACGCATGGCAGTGAATTGCTCCTACGGAAATGTACGAACGAGGATGAGAAATGGGTGAGAAGAACGGCGCATACGCGAAGTGAGGAGGCGAGAGAAGGGGTGTGTGTGTGTGTGTGCGTGCGTGCGTGTGTGCGTGTGTGCGTGTGGGTGTGTGCGTGTGCGTGTGGGCGAGTGGGCGGCCGGCCGCGCCAATCGACAAGAAGACGCACAGTGCCGGCGGTATCGAGAATCTCAAGCATGAAGGACTGGCCATCAAGCTCAATCTGCTTACGGTAAGAATCCTCAATCGTCGGATCGTACTGCGTGCGAGCGCGTACAAAGAGCGGGAGTGATAGCATGAGGGCGGGGTTTACATGGCCAGGGATGAAGATTGGCCGAGGAGATGAGGGGGGAGGGGGGGAGGTCAGAAACTGTTGGGCTGGGTGTAGAGCAGCAGCCAGGGCAAGCATGGGGGGCATGTGCAGGAAGGGACGCACACGATCGACGAAAATCTCGGACACATACTGCACGGTGAGTGCGGACTTGCCAACACCACCGGAGCCGAGCAGGACAATCTTATATTCCAACATGGCGAGACTGTGTGCAGCGCGGCAGCAGACCGGCGACAGCAGGCGAGAAGAGATGGTGCGAGAGAGAGAGAAAAAAGACCGAAGAGGGAGCAGGTCAGTAGGGGTGAGGGAGAGAGAGAAAGAGAGAGAGAGAGAGAAGGGGTGCCAAGAAGGGATGGAAAGGGGCGGGGAGGCGCGCACGGGGTCCGAGAGGCGGAAAGTTCCGGGGAGGGGGGGCTGCTAGAACGGGAGGGAGGGAGGAGGAGGGGAGGCCTGTGCCGGGGTCCTGTGTGGGGCGGGGAACCGCAAGCCCGGCAAGGATAAAGCCAGGGAGACGGGGGGGGAGGAAGGCGTGTGTGTGTGTGTGTGTAGGGGGAGAGAGAGGTAGAGAGATGGGGAGTAGTAGGGGGAGGAGGGCGGTCAGAGAGGAAACGTGGCGGTCGAGAAGCGTGGCGTCATGCCATGGTGGGGCTTGGACAGCGAAGGCTGGCAAGGAGAAAGGAGAGCCCTCACCGGGCTCGGGGCGGGGGGGGGGCCGGGGTAGCGACCACGGGGCAGAAGGCGCCGAAGGATGCAGGGGAGGCCGCCGGCGGTGGGGAGAGAAAGAGGGAGAGTGTGTGTGTGTGTGTGCAATGCAGCAGGGGGCGGGGGTATGTACAGGCGAGGGGGGCGAGGCGGAGAGCGCCGGCGTGGGAGGGACAGGAGGCGAGAGGGGAGGAGAGGGCGAGAGGGGAAACAAGCTATGGAGCCTGAGTGTGTGTGTAGCAGCACCCGGGGCTGCGCCCCGGCGGCATTGTAAGGGGTATCTCTTAGACGCAATGAATGGAATTCGCCGGCTGCTGGTATGGCCGCGCCGAAGCTGCTCACCCCGGCGGGTTTGCCCCCGGCCGGAGTGCCCCGGCTGAGCGGGGGACCGGCGGGCCGCGGAACACCGGCGAATGCGTTGCCCGGCCGTTGCCCGCGGCTCCCCTGCAACCGCCCTCACCCTGCAGGCTTGGGCGGAGGGGGCGGGGGGGGGGGACACCTGGACGTGTGCGCCAGCCCTGGGGTCTGCGACCGTGCTGGCCGAGTGTCTGTGTGCGCGCGCGCACGCACTAGACAGGGCTGAGGTGTCGCCCACCTGCGCGGGCGGGCGGGCGGGCGTATTTCTGCATAAACGCGCCCCCATGCGCGCATACAAGGCCGGGTCCCGGGCCTGCAACCGCCCGCCAGTCACCCGGGGGCGGGGGGGGGGGGCGACCGGGCGTGGGCACCACACCCGGGGGGGTCGGTGGAGGTGCCCGGGTTCACAACTGCGTCCCGGGGAAGGGCAGACCACTATCTGACCGGCCGCTGTCGTGTGACTGCGGCACTCTCTGGCGGGAACTGCCGCCGGCCGCCGCCGTTCCCGTTCCGGCACGCCTCCGGCTCGCACCGGTGGGCGCGGATCCCGCCCTGCCTGCCCGGCATCCCGGAGGCTGTCTGCGAAGTACAAGCCCAGGGCGGCCGAGTAACCTTGCGGGAGGGCTGGCAGTTTCACCCTAGACGCCTCCGCGAGCTGCCGGTTACCCATGCGCGAGACGCGCGCGCGCGCGAGGGGGGGGGG